CTTGGGAAATGCTACTAAGTGGATGATGGTGCTGCTGGGTGTGGCGGTGCTGGGAGCAGGGGGCACTACGAAGAAGGACCTTCCCCTCAGACTAATGAGGACAGCTGCCTCAGCAAGGATTGTTTCTCTCTCAAAACTTTCTTAAAGGAAGATCTGTTTCCAATGGCCTTTTTCTTCAGCAAAGTAAACAGAGACTAGGAGATGTTGACCAAACAGTTATTCAGGGTTCAGAGCCTGCCAAGGACCTGAGGTGAATGCCCCAGCTCATCCACAGAAAGAGGTCGAACTGGCTGCATGGCACTTCCTCCAGCGCTGTGCTAGATGAACAGAGTGGCTCAACGGGTGTGATGGGCTCAGATCCACAGCGCAAAGTTGAAATGAATGCTGGGATTTTCTGGAGCATGGCAAAAGCAGAGCACTTTTATCAGTTTGATGCTCTGGGCTCTGTTTCAGGAAGGGGACATTAAATCAATCGAGGCTAACATAGCCATTAAAAGGACAATGAATATTCCACGCTTGTGTTCAACTGGGCCTTCACAAAGAAATCCTTTCTGTCCATTTCATATAGAGGTGTGAACCCCCACCCGCACCCCATTCTCCCGACTACACAAAATTTTAGGGATCGAGCCTAAACCAAAGCACTCTTCCTACATTTTAGCTTATAAGTTCTAGTCAAAGTGGGCTCCATACCCCAGGGAATCACAGGCAGGGTTCAAGGGCCATCCCGATGTTCTCACAAATATTTACTTTCTGTAACATACCCTTTAAAATTTACATCTCCCAGTCCTTGCGATCTCAGTGAGTGGACTGGGAAAACCCAAAAGTTTGTTTTCATGTATGTCATCAACCTGATAATAAGCAAGGGGCAAGGTTTGTGACCCAGCGGGGCTCAGAGAGACCCAGCCCAGGGAGCGTTGTAAGGAGGGTGGGACCTTTCACCTCATTTGTTCCAAAGTCCCTGCTCCTGGGGAAATGCCTAGCTGGAGCGGAACTGGGGTTGAGCAACAAATTATTCCTCTCCAGCAAGCCTTGTCTCCTCTGACAGCCATTTCCTAAGAAAGGTCAGCTGGTAGTTGAGACAGGAGACAAGCCCTGAATCTCTGAAAAGAACTGAGGCTTCAACCTCGGGGTGCAGTGAGAATTTCCAAACGGCTGTATTTTCTTCTTGTGGGCAGCGTCTGAAGCCACTCAACAGGACACACACACAGAGATGTGTTTGCCCAGCCAGGCATGAAATATACATACAAAAAATGTAACAACCTTCCGCTCCATCAGCACCGGCAACCCAGGAACATGCACATAGACAGAGCTCTCATTAGGCAGGCAGGACCACAGGGCTTCTCCCCGACCTCCCCCCTCCCCCAAATCTCCTCTCCTCCAGGCCTTGTTTCTCTCATAAGAAACTGGGCAGGGATGGTGGAAAAAATTCAACCCTACACAGCTCTGTTGGGCAGAGAATCTATCTTGATTTCTATTAGATTACAATGCTTCTTTCCAAATAACGTCATTTTAATGATAATTAAGGAAAGCACTTGCACATATAGTTTGAG